CTCTGTTTTCAGTTAATCCGAAACAAACCTGCATATTTCAGCCTGCCGATAGTGCCTCGTTGCCATCTTGATTATCCTGACCTTTCGCTAAATGTTTCTGTGTGTGCACTAGCAGTCTGTGATTAAGTGACTTCTGGTGGCTTGCTCTTGTGTCCCTAAGCCGCTAACTGGCAGGGCGTTGATTGGGTGGCCTCTTCACTCGCGAAACTGCTGTCTTCTACCACTTCGGCCACCGCTCTGCTCTCCCTCCCTCTCTCCCTCTTAAGAACACAGTTCCTGCACTAGGTTCCACCATAGCAATTTTCTTGCAGAAGCACTCTCCGAGGTTTTCAAATGACCTCAGAAAGCGTTGCGTTGTCTTTGAAGGCGTGTGGGTTTCATGATGAACGTGGATACCAGACCGTCTGGAGCGCGTTGCGGCCTCGACGTTCGGTACCCTGGTTTCTATTGTCCTGGTCACCTCGTCTGTAAGTGCCTCGCTCTCGCAGACCGTTACCTCTGACCCACCGGAATTGGTTCACGGGGGCCTGTCAAAGGAAGCACAAACCTCTATCGCTGAATTGTTTCAACTTGTGGCCAAAGACAGCCAACTAATAAAAGCCCAACATGGACCCTGACTTTTGAAGGCCATTCGGTCCGATGCGTGGTGTTGCTGATGTGGAATCGAGTTGTTGAGTATATGTGTATGTAACCGTGGCTCAGGCGTTTGAATAGCTCTTTGAAGGCTCTTATTGACCGTGACTTGGTCACCCTATTCTTCACTAGCAAGTAAAACCAGAAGGTTGATGGTCCGTGCCCGTTTATCAACGTGCTTTGTGTTCTGGTTCGACGTGTGATGGTGGCAGAAAGTCCGTTCGACTCGACTTCTGTCGATCACTGACATCTCCTTTTATGGAATTAACTAACCTGAAGTACTTCCCTGTTATTCTCATTCTTCTTGTTGCTATTTGCTGTCAATTGGCACCCCCTGTCACCTCGGCACAGCTCCTACCTTCCATGGAAGTTACAGACTGCTTCCCAGATGGAATTAACCGTCCACCGGCATCTAACTTAGACGCCTTTCCTCCTGCTCTCCGTTTTGTGTGAAATGTCCGTTTTGCTATGTTCCAACTTGCATCAATTGACCGCGCCTAATCCACTTCCAAAACGACCACCCCCATGTTACTACAGCCCCGGTTGATCTTACAATTGGTCATTCTTTTAAACACTTAATCAGACGTAACTTAGCTGTTTAATGTAAATACCTGGAATCGCGACCAATGTCAGTAGGCTGGTTGTTTACCGGCGTGTAGAATTGTTTAGGTTTGCCTTAAAAGTTCGTACTGTCGGACAGCGTGACAGTGAGACGGGTTTCGCAAGGCCTTGTGCCATCCGCTTTGCACTGCCAGCACGCCCAACTCGTACAAGGCCACTCTTCCCGCCTTTAGCGCTTCCTCTGTCTCCTGCGTATTGGCTGATTCATCAATCTTTTTTAGAAACTTGGGTTGACAGTTTTTCTTCTAATTTCTGTTTGTGAACAGGCTCTGCTCACTGGAGCCCCGCGTTTTGGTGTACTGTACTTCGGGCGTTTTTCATTCAGACGGAGGAATCGTGGTTCCGGTGAACTGGGGCTGTTTTAAACACCACTTTGTGGCTTCCTTGGATCCCTTCCTATTTTGAATCCACCAGATACGGATTCTCCAACTTATTGTGCTTTTATTTTCTACCCCTAACTGCCGCTTTCTTGCTGGCCCTGAGTCGAGGCGGTTAACGGGTTGAGCAGCTAGCGAGTTTATCACCTTGGCTGGTCTTAATCGCCGGGCGATATCTCTCTCAGATCAACCTAGGCAACTCGGTTAACGTCGATTAATAATGTGCATTCAACAGTGCACAAACTGGTGAACGCTGTGCACCTCCGATGTAATCGTTTGAAACACCGCCATCTGGGTAACCGCCCAGCCCGTGCGCCCGTCTAGTAAAACAAAGCCAGCATGAACGATCACTGTAAACAGTAAGCATTGGTAAGAGGGTGAAGAGTCATGGCACTCTAGATGTGACAATTCCCTTGACTGGAGATGCAGGCCCACGCAATTGTGTGACATCTAACTCTTTTGGGAATATTCACCTCGTTACGATGCAGCAGGCTGTTGCCATGGTGCTTTTCCTACGCCCTAAACGCTCTACGTAAGGCGCAATTCCACCCTCTATTGGCCGCAAATCACAACACCAGAATATGTCGTGTGGAACTCGTAGAAGTGTAGGCATTCCTGCCCTCCTAAAATTCATACGCGCCTGCAAAGTCGGTTTTCCACGCAAACGCGGAGGCAAATTAAGCGCGCTACTGACGAGGATTTGGCGTGGTACGCGTGAATGCCACCTCTTTGCGTCTGGCACGTCAGAACGCCGTTTGCTGCTCCTCTTCATCCACGGTTTGGTGGTTTTTTTCCCTCCTCGAGGATTCTCCTACTCCCGAGTGCGTCTTGTCTAAATGGGCTCCGATTTGTAGGGAAGACGGCGGGGGGAAGGGGTGCGCGCGTGTAGCTTCGTAACCCGTCAGAAATCATCTTGATCGGGCTCCTCGTAAAGTACGCGCCTCTTTTTTCGCGTCGGCTGCCTTCAGATTAACCGTGAGTGACCGTGGAGTCAACTTTCCCGAGTCAACCAACCCCACAGCGATGTGCCAATTGCGGAGGAAAAGTGTGCCGTGTGAACCAGTGGCTGGTCTGGTTTTCTGACACAATTTGGCCAACCGACTTGGACATCTGGCTGGGCACGACGGTGACACGTCGCCGCCGCCGCCGCTTCGTGGGGGAAGGCGGGGACTCGTTTTTTTCTCCCCAAAATAAATCCCACTTGGCGCCCCGTGAAATGCGCTGCCAAGCTCGTTTTGTCCTCTTTTTTCGCGAAAATAAAAATATCTGCCACTGAGGCGCGCATTCACGGCGGGCATCAGTTAACCGAGCTTGTGTGTGTGTGTGACTCGACGTCCAAGAAATGTCACGGTTTATTCCCAGGCCGGAGTGTGACGCTGTCAGCCAATCCAGTCGCCTTGTTCACTTGCTCAACCAGTTGCGCAAACCCCCCCCCCCCCCCGCCTCTAACCCTTCGAATTGCTGTTGGCGACATGAAAGCGAGCGGGATACGCATGTGCCGCTCGATTAGTCTGGCTTCATTTTATGTGTCCTCAACTCTAGTAACTTTTGCGTCTCGCTGCATGTACTCGCAAATTATTGTTCCTGTCTTCCTGTTCGCTCCTCTGTAGGTTTTGACATTTCACTCCCTCCTCCTTCTCATCACTTTAATGATTTTTCGCTCGATACCCCTTCTGCCACTGCTTCCCAACCTCATGTCGCTACATTGTTTTCATTAGGGAACACTCTCTCTTTACCAACATATTTGAACGCGTGTTTCCGAGGTAAAAGACAAGATGTCCAACAAGTCGCTCCGTCAATGGGGATCTTTTTTGTAAATAACGTTGGTTAACCGTAATTAATCCGACTTTTGTCCTAACCGCCGCCGTTCTCCAACTTCCAAAATATGTAGGCGTGTTTCTGTGGTGATTTCTGGGTATTTTTCGCCTCCTTTGGGTGTACCTTGACCTGACCCGAAATCGACCCACAAAGTTGCCATCTGATATGCCAAAGTGCCGTATGTAAAACTTCACATTCGGTCAAGATCGTTAAAGTCGACCGGACCGACAACTGATGAGATTCACGGATTCGACCACTTTTTTTATTCATTGGCCACTGGCCTGGTTTCGCCTCTTCCGCAGGGAAGGGGGGAAGGCGCATGTACCTCTCTCTCCCCCCCCGTAACCAGTCAGAAATCACATCATTAAAGTTGACGGCCGTCGTGATGGTGCATAGCGCGCATTCTCCTCCCTCGTACTTCACGATCCTGTCTGGTTTCACATCTTGTTGAGCTTACATCTAGTAGGGAGATCGATCCCGACTAGTTGTTGACGATGGAATGCCTGTTCACATCTTTCCAACACTTCCGGACCAGTCATTGTTGCCTCATGTGAAGCACGTCACACTCCGAACCCTCTTATCATGCGGTGTTGTCGAGGTGAAGCAAGGCAAGGCACTCTAACTAGCTAAATAACTAACCCGGTTCACTGTGGCCTCCCTTTTCAGTCGGAATCCCCACGCTGAAGTGGTTCGGCACGGAGGGCGACTACAACGTCATGGTGATGCAGCTGCTGGGCCCGAGTCTGGAGGACCTCTTCAACTTTTGCGGGCGTCGCTTCAAACTCAAGACTGTCATCCTCCTCGCCGACCAAATCCTCATGCGCATCGAGTACATGCACAGTCGCAACTTCATCCACCGGTGAGTTGGTCCGCGTTGGAGTTATCTTTATGCCTGCGTTCCCACCCAATAGGACTAAACTCGCATCTCATTGGCTAGGGGCGGTTTTGGTGGTTGTGCTTGTTTTGAGCGACCTTCCTTGGTGTTGACGTCACTTTAGAAGCGAATTGCGCGTGACTTTGTTTCCAGTTGTTAATCTGCAGAAATTAGCATTTGGCGATATTTTACCTTCCTCCTCCCCTAAGCGCAGCACAGGTGCTTGACCTCGCCGCTGTACATGGGAAATTTGTGGTTTCGGAGGCTTAACGCAATGGATGTTGAAGGTAGTTTAAATTTCGACCAATCTTGTTCCGCTCAACCTACTACGGCTGGTGATGACTTAGTAAACGTTGTAATTAAACACGATTATTACATATTTAAGTGTCCTCAGCCTGTTAAGAGATTATCTGTTTGCGTGCGCGTCATTAAAATGAAATCCGCTGATCGCGACACCTCAGTGCTTGCGATGCGCATCACAAACACATTAAAATGGTCCGGCTTTTTAGGCAAGTTATTACGTGTGATGATTCGTTGAATGGTCTACGATGGACGAATCTAAACCACATCGAACGGTGGATTTCCATAGAAGCAAGTTGATCTACTACTTGATGTTAACTGGAATCAAGTAACGCCTCGGAATTGGCAACTTGCCCTAAAGTCGTGCAAGACTTCACACATTTGGTGTCGCGTGGGAATCTACCGAGTGATATCACGGCTGAACCACCACTAATTACGATGACCTCAACTCGTACTTTGGAATGAAGGCGAAGTCGCGTCGAAATAGAAACTCTTTTTGGGCCTCTCAACTGTAGTTCCCTTACTTTCGTAGACAAGCTGTCGATGTGCGCGGTGTCGGTCAACGTGACGCGAAGGTCCCCTCTTGTAGTTTACTGGACAATTACGCAGTTTCCCAGGCTTGTCGGCTACTTTGTTTGAGCGCAAAATGCGCCAATTTGCGAGCCTTTGAAGTGTCTGGCCGGTCGCCGGTGGTGTTTTCCCACCAGCCAAGTGTGCTTGCACATGTGGGTGGCAATTTGTCGACTTGTGTCCTCGCGTCAGCGCAATGACGAGTAGTTTTTTATTAAGCCACCGCTGGCGAATTCGACCGGCCTATTTCGTAAAACCACTTGTGAATTTCAAGTCTTGCCTGTTGAACTTCTGTTGTCGGGGGATTCGGTACCTTCCCAAAGGGAAAACAACCTTCACAATAACTTATAAGTGGCGCTGAGTTAGGCTGCGGATTAAAACAACGTATAAGTCGAGGCCAGAACTAGGAGGACACGGGTGCATGTGCTCGTTCCCAAGGCGTGCCTCATTCCTGTCCGTTTGTTTTCAGTGACATCAAGCCCGACAACTTCCTGATGGGTCTTGGCAAGCGTGGCAACGTCGTCTACTTCATCGACTTCGGCCTGGCGAAGAAGTACCGCGACTCGCGCACCCACATCCACATCCCCTACCGCGAGAACAAGAACCTCACCGGGACCGCTCGCTACGCCAGTGTCAACACCCACCTCGGCATCGGTGAGTTCTTGCTCGTGTTGCTACGCCTCATCCGCGGGGAGGGGGGATCACACTGTCGACCCGCCTGTTGCCCTTTGTGATGCGCTCGTGCGTGTGCGTTTGCACCGTCCTTTCACGGTTTCACGGATGAGTCACCTCGCTTGGGCGGAAGTACACGAATGGGCTGCGTAACGCGTGGGTTATGTGGATGCATATAAATGTAGACTGGTTAGAACGAAGACAAAGCAAGTTTAAGTTGTTTTTGTGGCGACTATGACTGGGCACCAGGCCGGTGCACGAGTCGACCCTCTGGCCGATTTCCGAACAGGTGGTCTTCAAATCGATGCTGATTTTTGTCCTTATGCAGAACAATCCCGACGTGACGACATGGAGTCGCTGGGCTACGTGCTGATGTACTTCCTGCGGGGCAGTCTCCCCTGGCAGGGCCTTAAGGCTGGCACGAAGCGACAGAAGTACGAGAGAATTTGTGAGAAGAAGATGGAGACCTCCATTGAGTCGTTGTGTGCCGGCTACCCAAGTGAGTTCGACTTATTAGCCTGTCGTTAGCCTCCACCATCACCACCACCACCGGCCTTTTTCGTAACCTGAGAACAACTTCGGTTCGGCAATTTTCTCTATGCGTTTACCTCTCTAGGCGAAATGGTGGACTACCTTAGCTACTGTCGAGGCCTGCACTTCGAGGCCAAGCCTGACTACTCCTACCTCCGTCGCCTGTTTCGCACGCTCTTCAAGAAGAACCACTTCACCCACGACATCGTCTTCGACTGGAACCTCCTCAAGATCTCGGGGAACGAGGCCCCCGGCAGCAGCGGTGCCGCTGGAAATGGCGCCGCTGGAGCGCCTGCAATCGATGCTGGTCCAAGTAAAGCCCCAGCCAACTCCCACCAGCCACCGGCGCAGGTGCAACCGGGCATTCAAAAGGAGGACGACAGCTTACCCAATGGTATGAAACGCCGGTGCTACTTAAACAAATTGAGCAGGCGTATTAGTTTATGGTACGGTGGCGGGACATGGCGATAAAAATCATCCAAGTGTCGGGCGATTCACGACGACAAGCTGCGTTAATTACGTGCACAATACTTGAGTCTGTCTGAACAACAAAGCGCAGATTGCACATTTGGGTTTAACGCTCAGCGAACGATCCAGTGGTTGGTGTGTTTCCATGTTCTCTGTTTTGCTGCAGATCGAGCGCGGCATCACCTGCAGCCGCAGTTTCCACCTCTGCTGCGACCGCCGACCCCGGACAACGTCGTGCAGCCAACAACCCGAGCCGTGGAGCTTCACTTACGTGCCCTCCAACAACAGCAGCAGAAACAACAGCAGCGCAGCCTGATGAGTAACCGCGGACCCCAGCGTGGTCCCCCGGCCGCCTCGGGCGCAGTTCTCTCCTACCTTCGATCGATGGATCCCGTGACCTCTCCCGCGTTCGCCCTCCAGCAGCCCAACCACCCTCAAGCCCAGTGGAATGTCAACAACAACGCGATACCGCGCACCGCCTCTGACAGCCCCGCTGCAATGTGGCCGGCGGCGCCCCCTCCGGCTGGCTACACACCCGGTCCCGCCTACACCTTCCCCGACCAACACCACCCTCAGCGGTCTGGCGTTGCTGGCGCCGCCGCCCCCGGGGGTGTGGGAACAGCGGGACCGGTGAACCTCTACGTGGTGTCGGATCCCACGACGGCAGCAGCTGCTGCGGCTATGGCGCAACAACAGCAACACCAGCAGCAGCAGCAGCAACAACAACAACAGCAGCACTTTGCGGCAATTGCTGCGGCCGCTCAGCAACAGCAGCAGTGGGCCGCGGCGCGTTTCGCTCTTGGTGGCATGTGGCCCCCCCACCAACCCGCGCCGCCGCCCCCGCAGATGTCGACACAAGTCCCGAGTGCTGCTGCAGCCGCCGCCGCCGCTGCTGCTCCCACCGCCGACCCAGCCACCTTCCGCTCCGGGTGCCTGCACTGACCGTCTCCCCACCGCCTCCGCCTCTCTGTGTAAATATGTAGTGAGCATTTGTTCTACTCCCGCGCCTGATCCAACGCGTTTTCCGTCTTCTCTGCGTATTTGTTTCTTTCCTCCCTCCGCGAGCTTTTTTCCGTGCACTTCCAACACACACACCCACACAAAATGACCTTCAAATTTATTGGAGACTCTGTATACTACTTGCACTCACAGCACATGAGGTTAATATTAACAAAGAAGCCAGTGTTTCACTCTACGGCCGATTCTTGCACTGTCAAGGAGCCACTGCAGGGCGCACGCACCTCCACTACCCACTCACCACACTGGAGGGTCTCCACGAAAGATGGTTCTGTGGTTGCGCAGCGATCGGACCCTGTAATCGATTGCGCATTGTGTTGCAGTGCGGCTTCATCGGACACCCTCGGTGTCCTGTTTCTTGCCATTGTTGATTGTTCACTTGTCTGCTGATAGTCCCACGCACGCCCGTTCCTGAAGCCAATCCGGGAGATTCCGGTGCCAATGCAGGAATATTCCAGGCAAATTTTATGGCAATAGGGCGATGTGTTGGCAGGCACAAGTGACTCGCCCCTCGCAGTTAATGAAACAGCGCTGAGTTCTCGGTGCAATCGGTTGTAGTAGTTAGCTGCAGGGAGATTCTTGGATAAAATTCTACCTTGACATATGTCCAAGCGCATCGGCTTGCACAAGGACGAATCCTTCGGTTCCACGGAATGCGAGGCCTCCTACCGCACTGTGTTTGCACAGTTGACGTCGTCTGGGTCGCTTGCAGCACACTTTCCTGCTGGCCTGCAACGTGGTCTTCCTCATTTTTCGGTCTGTGTTGAATCGATTGACTAAAAACATCGTATAGGTAAAAATGTGAATTCTCATTAATTTGCTCGTGTAAAATCCAAATTTGTAAGTTGGCAGTAACTCACACACCAACTACAATTTAGTCCACGTAAGGTGGTTCTAGACGTATGCAAGAATTAATCTGCGAATAATCGTAGTGTGCGTAGAGTAGCCAACTGCAGTATCCCAACCACGGCTACAGTTTTTCAAGGATTCCTGAATCGATTGCATGGAAATCTGCTCGTGGAGTCAGATGCTCGAGTTCATCCGAGGTGGGACGTGGTGCGTTGTTTTTTTTTGTCCTGGAGGGCAAACAAAGACAGGAAAATCTCTTTCCATTGAATCGCTGTTAGTCTTGCAGCCTCAGGGGTATGCTTGCGAAGGGACCTTTTGCAAGGAAGCACGGTCAATCAGTACAGTCGGCTACCTTACTTCTTGCATCCAGCGATCAAGACATCTGAAGTGGGACAGGTACACGTAAACTTCGAGGCCTCGGTTGAACGTCATTGGCTGAAAGGTCTAAGTGCAGATTAGGAGCCCACTTGGAGCGTCCAGCACACAAATTTTGCCATAAGTCGATTACGAGCGGTCGCATAACATGCTGTGAACTTTCTTGCTAAGAACTGAATCCGCTAGATTAAGCATCTGTGAACTCATTTACAGCACAAATATTTCCAGAAATTGGCATTGTAGAATGTTTGGTCAATCTAACGTCCTTGTCGCCGTATCCAAACTTCAACAGCCAATACTTGTCCTTGCCACATAGACGATAAACTGCCAATTCCCTGGAACAGGGCTCCTGCTACCATCAGAGAACGCAAATATACGAGCATACTTAACTAAACTCTGGTGTTGCCACCATTTGCTTGCCATAACTCGCACCTACGTGAGTTCGTAAGCAAGCTCCAAGCAATGTCAATACGGGGAAAACGCTGTGCGTGAATGACCACGCGCGCTGCCCCCAGCCTTCTTGCCCAACCTAACTCCACCCGTTCCCGCGGGGGCTCTGACAGACTTCTGCATGTTCCGCTTCGGTTGAAGGGAAGGCTCCTGGTTGTGCCCAATTTTGTTGTGGAGACACCAGGTTCGCACGCACACTGCTACCCACAAATTCATCAGCACCGACCTAAGAGACCGGTTTCTGAGAATTTGATGTGGAGCAACAAGACGGGAATCCCAAAGCTATTAACCCAAGAATCCAACAGCAGCATAGTATCTGCCATAATTAGTTTTGCATAAAACTAGGTCCGCACTAGATGATACCCAATTACTTGCCTCAAACACGAAGATCGATAACGATGAGGAAATGTTATATTTTAGATGAGAATAAAAAGGCTGTATGAAAGTAGTGCAAAAAAGGTAGTAACTCTGGTAAAAGCCTTAGGCCTCGTTGACAGAATCGTCACTGTCGCACCTGAGAGCCCGCAACTGCTGTAACTCATCGATCCAGCGTTCCATAAAGTAGGCGCACTCATCGCTGTCATAATCGACCTCACCATCCGACGAAGCCTAAAAGAAAATCAACTTGACAAGACATGCGCCTGTACCACCCAAGTCTAATTGGTCGCCCTCCATGATTTTTAGGGGCTAAATCAAGCAAGACAGTTCAACATTGTGGTTACAAGAGCGTGCGTCATGGACGTATTTGCTGTCATTTCCAACAATTAATACAAGTCGCTATGGCGACAAAGATAGTAAAAGTCGGCAAAAGTAATGGTTATTAGCAGAGTTTAAACACGACGCGTTCCCAAAAAGTGTGCCGGATAATAAAGTGCGTAGAAACGAACAACAGCAAGTTAGTACATTAATTGGGACGACTTGCTTCGATGCAGGCCTTCTGCACACGTTTCAGGCATTGTTTCGAACCCTGTGGCCACGGAGACGCGTTGTTAACGTCTGGACAAAACTGATATTGGCATCGAAGTTTCGATTCAAGAACTTACGCCTATTGGTTCATCTGAGTCATCAAGTGGGATAAGATCTTCCTCCCAATCCGACGTTTCCATGTAATGGGCAGCGATTTCCTCGTGGTTTGATTCAATCCAATCATCAAAGGAGGATGCACGGCTGATAGGTCGACAAATACTTTTTGCGTCGTCGCTTTGGCACTCTAGTTCATTGTGATCGTGGCGTTCAGTTACGTCAAGATCCTGGCATGCCCGTTCGTTTTCGTCATGGTGTTCAGCCAAGCCAAGGTCCTGGCATCCCCGTTCGATGTCGTCATGGCGTTCAGCTAAGTCAAGGTCCTGGATTGCCCGTTCGATGTCGTCATGGCGTTCAGCTACGTCAATTTCCTGGCATGCCCGTTCGTTGTCATGGTGTAAAGCGACATCATGTTCCTGAAATTTGGGTTTGCTGTCGTCGTGGTGTAAAGCAACATCAAGTTTCTGACATTCCATCTTGTTGTTGTCGTAGTGCTCAACGAAATTAAGGTCCTGGCATTTCGATTCGTTGACAGTGTGGTGATCAGCGACGTCGTGTTCCTGGCATTCCGGTTTGTTATCTTCATGGCGTTCAGCTGCATTACAAGCCCGGAATTCTGGTTCGTAGGCATCAAATAATTCAGCGAAATCAATGTCCTGGCATTCTAGTTCGTTGTCAAGTCCCTGTAACTCGGCTTCTCCATGATCAGGGTCCCCTTGTTCGTAGTTTTTACTGTCCCATTTCAAATTATCATCGTGAACGCGAATATACCACGCAAAAGTGGACATCCGATGAACCAAATAGAAATGTTTACAAAGCCTAAATAACAAAACAAATAAGGTGTAACACGACAAAAAAGTCAGGGACTACGCAAAACGCCTTATGTAAAAATGAATAGATAGCAGTCCCATGGCAACAAACGGAGAATGACGTATGGAGTATGATGCCAAGAGCTCTCTCAAACAAATTAACTTAATAGTAACTACTTTTGGTGACTTTGGTAGAATGCAACCAAATTCTCATCAAATAAAATCGAATTTCTTTGCCAAAAACACGAATTTATAGGAATTCACACTAGAAAATTCACGCAGTGTAACCAGGTCATAAGGAGCCAAGGTGCAGATCAATACGCATATACTCTTTTCCGCCAAAGTAAAGGATCAAATTCGAGACAATTGATTTAGTTGAAAAAAAATGTCGTCAACGAACACTTTCTGCAGTCCCAGGCAAAAATTAGACTCTGTAAAACCAAACATATTCACTGAGGTAAGGTTTTGTGTGATTTACCGGGTTAAAAGCGCTGAAACAGTTTATAGGATTTCAATGGAAACTAAAACACAATACCACATACAAATGTTGAAACTCCCTCAATCGACAGACTCAAGAAGCAGCAGCGAAATCTCTTACCACATTTAAACTAGCAAATTTAATCGACTTTGGCCTGCTGCGCTTTTTAGAATGAAACACATTATTAAGTGTTTTAAATGTTATGAAAATTGAAGGAAATGTTGCAATTAATTTAAATTAAAAAAAATATCGCTGCAAAATTCAAAAGTAGGGAAAATCTCCAAGTAACCCACATTAGCAGTAAAATGTTATAAAACGGTCTTCGATAGCGGAAATTATTTGTAGTCGAATTGTCATTTGTAATAAAACCTCATACCCATTTGTTGCATTTGTTCTCGGCATGTCAGTCGTTAAGTATCGGTGAAGTTTGGCATATACGTAGTAGTTGCCCATAATGCCAAGTATGTTGTAAGTTTATTTTAGTTGCTAGATTAGTGTAAAGGCCTTTTAAAGCGGAAACGTGACTGTCCTAGGTGGTATCTTTTTTGAGAGTTAATAAAGCTCTGCTAAAACGCATCTGTTGACAATGTTTGCACTTAATTTCGCTAATTTAATAATAGTGCAGGATTTCTCACCAAAGAGTACAACTTGAGACTTTCCGATCAGCAAATTCTTTATTCAGAAATTAGAATTCCAATTTATCGTTGCCAACATTCTAGTCCGTACCATAAGTCGAGGCCATTAATCCTGACCGTAATTACAGAATGTTTAGCGCTGTAATAAAGATTAGAATTGTAACAAATTAGGTTTCATTCACAAACAAAAATTCAAATCCCCCATGAGGTGTTATCGACTGGAATCCACCGTTCCATCCCATAAAGCTCACTATATTGTTTTTTAGGCCTTCTTTACATTGGTTGGCTGCTGACCTTCCTGGTAAGCCTCATAAACACCTTTTTAATAGAATTTGGAAAGGTTTTGGATCCGTTTTGCGTTATGCAAATGTACAGCAGCCCCTACAACGGAACTTTCGAAGCCGAATATAAAGAAACTACACCAAGACAGGATTTATTGACCCACCCAAATCTTGAGTCGTTTGTCAGAAGCTGTAATGCTGCTTGTAACGCCCATCATGTAGGTTTCTCATTCATTCTTAACTCTGGTCAGTAGGGAACCTTAATCATCATCCATTCATGCACACAGGGTATTTCATATGGTCCAGTGTGGCTGCTGCCAACTTCGTAACTAAACACAGGCTGCCACTGAATTGGAGACTGACACTGCAAAGTGATTTATGATCAATCTGGACAAAACTTACCTGGAAGAATACAGACTGGAACTGCTTCCAGCTCGAATAACGTGAGGCATTTTAAGTGTAGTCTAGAGCAATTGAAATTGTGCGTCCTTCATAAGCCAACTACAGGATCTTCTCCTCAAAATTATCACTTCCACGAAATATGTAACACCTCGACATAACTGAGTTGGGGATCCGAGAGATTAGCTCAACAAACTGAGTCGAAACCAACGCCATTAGAAATTGCGCCTAACGTTTCACACAAACTCAGACGCTGCTTCAGTTTTAAGTCCCATCTTAGTGCGTACGTTTGTAGCGCCATCTTCAGATCTCGCCCAAACATCTTGCATTATACCAGTCAACGCTGAACCTATTTTGTTTACAGAAGGCGGACATCCTTCGAACAAGCAATGGTACATTAACACCTACTTGGTAGTTTTCTTTTCCGAAAAACCCCTAAAATATCTTTTCCCTTTAAAACACACACATGCAATGATAGGGAATTAATGTAATGACGAATGGGAATAGAAACGGTTTTTTATACAAATGACAGAATAAAAAGTCAGCGGATCGATGCACAAAGACATGCAAGAGTACACACAACTAGGGGAGGGAGTGACGCGTCAGATCAACGCTGATACGAGGAGGTGGTTGGGGCTTCGCGAGAAACCAGAGCTGACGGACACACAACCTGAGACTCTCTTCCATCAGCCTGCAACAAAAACGTAAATGAAAAATTTAAACGGAAGTAGACCGACAAACACTCCAACGGCAGCAACTTCATTACTCTACCACCTACTTCGTTTTGGCATCCAAAAGGTATTTACACTCCTCATTGAGGCGCCTAAATTCCTCCTTGATGGTCGTTTTCGGCGAATCGAGGGAGTGACGTCGTTGTGGTGTTGCTACTTGAGGTGGCGGCAACCTCAATTTTGACGACAAGCGATCCACCTTATCCAGTGTTGTCTCGACAACAACGTTCAATTGCACCAAAGATTGACGAAGGTCAGCCAATTCCAGCGGCAGCTCGGGCGACACTATCTTGGATGCGTTAGAATAGGTAGCAAGGACTCGGTCATGCACAATCTGAGCTTGGGCCCTAAAATGATAATCAGACAATGTAATTACTACACCTGAACTAGTTGTTGCAACAAATGACGCCCAAAGCACATACGCATTATCGACAAATGCACATGATTGGTAAAAAGACCTACTTGGCTTCTTTAACACACCCGGAAAGGATCGACATGACCCCGTGCGAACGCTCAAGAGTGTCTGCAACACTTGTTAACGTGTTTTCATGTTCCGCCTCTTCTTCCCACGCTTCCATCTACAAGAGAGACGTAGCATGCACAGACTTAGGCTGGAGCATGGCTAAAGCATGTGCAAATGACGATGGAAACTGACTATTCGCGGGGAAGAGCACATTCGCGGCTTGATGGCGGCCGTCTCCACACCTGAGTCCGTGATGCTGGTTGGAGAGGGATCACCGGCGATTTCTCCCACTACTGGGTCACGTGGGGTCATCGGTGGGGAAAGATGTGCGAAGTCCTCGTGCAAAATGTATGCCTCGTTAAAAGGTTTCCCATTAAATCCCACTGTATGAATGGGGAAATCAGAGGACACCACAGAGGTCGAATAAATCCTTCCTGTGTTGACTCCTGATCGACGAGGAAGCTCCGGGGAGTGGTCTAAAGGAAAAGAAATGTCTTTTTCAAGCTTCACTGGTCTCAGGGAACAAATGGGTTCTTATTATACCCACAAGGTTTGTGGCCATAAACGCAGTTCTACAGTCCATTAGTTGTAGATGTCAACACTAAAGAATCATTGTGACGTTGCTTAAGGCCACTGAAAATAGTCCTTAGATTGTTTCAAATTGGTTCCTTGTCATATAGTATTAATTCCAACTACCAAATAGAAAACCGATGATCTATGAACCCATAGAATGTATGGTAAGGCATTAATGACACCTCAAAGAATAATTAAGACATTTTAACCATTGACGAGGGCTCAATTTATCTTAGTAGGGTCATTTTGGCTACTTTAAATCAATACAACCCAGGCAGCAAACATATCAGACTAAACGCTTAATTGAACCTTAAAGGATGACTAATAAAGACGTAAAAACTCACGCTCTTCAAAACCGAGTTTTTCCTCATTATCAGACGATTTAGTGGTCCTGCATTTACTCACAAGTCCTGTTATTACTTCCAGAAGATCTCCGACGGCGGATGCATCATGGTTAACAACAGCCTCGGGAGAAATGTGACCAAGTGTTTCGTCGAGAAGAGATTCGATGTCGTTGAGAATGGCCCGGATGTTTATCACCTTCTCGGATTTTGACTGCGGGTTTTTGAAAGGAACTAAACAATCACCTTAAGAAAGACTACAACTCTACCTTTGTCAGCTCCACACAGGCGAGAATAAACACTGCAAAAGAAGTTGACATCTATATTGTCAGTGCAGTTGATGTGATCGGATATATTCAATATGCGGCAACAAAAATTCGCATATTGAAGGACATCTTAGCAAAAGATGTTTAAACTTAAAAACGACATACCTTCGCCGTCTTCTCGAGAATACTCCACTAACTCACCAACCATCTTGAATCAATTAGTGCGCTAACATCTGATGTTGGAACTGTATCTTGCAAAACAAAGTGAGAAACCTTGCATGCAAATGCTTATACTAGGATATTTCTTAAGTGAATTGCGTGTTTAATGAACACTTACTAAATCTATTTTAATTTTTTGGGATGGTCGCTAAAGAATGACTTTCAGTTAATTCTAGATTGACTTGATTTAGCAGCTTAATTAATCTAACAAAATTATACAGCTCACGTAGTTGGTGTCGTCGCGTGCTATAATAATGGCTGCTAAGAAGTCACTATGAACATTCATTGTCAGGCTTTTACTACTCATTCGCCACTATCTGCAGTTACATCAAACACTTCCTCGATAGAATTATGATTCCACAATCTCTCATTTCAGCTACTTACAATTATTTGGGTTTACACTGCCTCCTAGTATGAATTTGGAACAATTATAGTATTAGTTGATTTTTGATTTTGAATTCTTGAATGACGTTTTGTCGCTCCTACTTTAAATAATTCTTGTGTCACACAAAAAACTTGACTTTTACTGATTGGCTCAATAATCGGATACTAAATCCTGTACACATCTTGGCCTAAAAGAGGTTAACGGATCTTTTTGGTTTGTTTGCGTTATAGTAATGTTCATACTCGCCGTCTTTGTATGCACCATTATTCGAGTGATTGCTTGTATACCTTTAGCTGACCACCGTCAGATTTTTCTTGTGGTGTCGGTATGCGTTAAAATTTTGCTATCTAACAACCCGAGAACAGGTTTTGGGACAATGAGAGCAGATACGATCGTATATTAGCGTCACGCCAGTCAAGTGTATTTAAGTGCGGATTAAATGTGACGGTTTATATTAGTCAATGTAATAGGGATAATTCATTAATATAATATTGTCTCTTGATAAGCACCACACATGCTCGATTGCTGACAGTCTAATACAAGTATTTTACCCAAAAATGTTGCCTGCGATACTGAATAAACGCTTAAACCGATTCAGTAAAGCAAATTATGGGTCTTAGGAATCAAATAAAATGGGAGGTAGGGCAAATGGAGGAGCAGATATGTAAAAAATTAGCCTGTTGTAAGGAGAATCTGTGCAATGAGGCGAATTTCCTTCATAATGAACCCCAAATGGTTAACAAACGCTGAAGAACAGAATTCACAATCGCTGTCAGATATTGTGCCCATCTCAACATGCAGACGCAAAGTCGCACCTGAACCAAGTTCTGTTAGTGTAGATTTTAGGTATTCAAACTAAATAAACTATAATGCATTGAACCTGGCAGTAAACGCAATTTTTGCCGCAGCGGCTAAGGTGCGAAAGTGTTCACAATTAAGAAGGTGGTTCAGATCTTGAAACAAGCAAGAAGTGCATCGTGCTCTGCGATGAAAAGTAATAGAACTGAGAGTTTCGAACGACGACAGTCTTTAATGGAAATCGCTATCGCTAAGCGGATTAAACTGCAAACACAGAAGCGTCCATACTTAAATCCACGTAAAGACGGAAGAATTTCATCTAAACCCATTTACACATAGCAAAACCTTGGGTTTGGAATCGCGAAATATCCTAGTTGTGAATTATTATGTTATGGAATTTGCTGTGCCTGTATTTTAAAAAAAGAGTTTATTCCTTAAACGGGCATCTTCGCAAACGGCAGACCAAACCAGACGGTCTATTATCAAGCGTACAGTATACAAACGTTAAGATGTAAAAGCAAGTTAAAATACCTAATTATGTGTCTTCTGACTGGAGTCAATATCTGCAAATTGACGCATCTCACGTTTTTGAAACAGTGAGGTATTGGCAGCCCTACAGCTTTAGACTCGGGTTTTGACGAAGATACTGTAATTCCTATACATTTGTCTACGCAAAAATTAATTATGCAAGTTTGATACCAGGAACTCACAGAGCATAAATATGTGCATGTTAAAGTTTGTCGACCTCGACTTTGTCAGCCGCATCAACATGGGAATAATTGTTGCAAAATGTGAGATACAGCCAAGATACCTGGATCCACATGGCAAATACCGCTTTGATGCTGAATACAAAACATGAACCATGAACTCATGTCCTTGAAATAGTTGACGGAAATATTTCATAAGAAGATTAATGGCTAGCAACTGCCTAAACAATGTAAAGCAGCAGATCTTAGCTAGTTGAAGTTTTTGGAAAAATTACAGTCACCCAGCTATTGTGTAAGGAATTCGACTACGGTGACTTGAGAAGCATCCGTTCGTAAGAAAATTTGTGCTTACTTTCTTTAGTAGCACAAGTTTGTGACAGATTTTGTTATGAAATCCTTTACACTTTGAAAGGCAGCTTCAGCTTCCTGAATGAGCGCTAGCTTCATGGGATTCGGCGGTATGTGGAAAGAACCATGGAAATTAGTTTATTAAACCAGGAAATCGACGTAAGTCACAGGATGATGCTGTCATTGGAGGCTCGTAGACAGTTGCAGTTTTTTTTTCAGACAGGGGTCTTACACCATCTGCGTTAATTTGATGGCCGCGAAACCTCACACTATATATTCCAAAAGCACATTTTAGGCTTTATCGTGATGTTGGTTGATGTAAGAAAAAGGTTACAGGTAAGGAATTATGACATTATTTAGGGCTCTGTGATACCTGCAGATTCTCAGGTCTGCTGATTTCTTAGGTGCCATTTATAAAGAGGCAACTCAAGGGCTGTTGGAAGGACCAATTGTTTCAAGATGGCAAAAATTGGTTTAGCTGCTCTGAGTTTATTGGGTGCATGTCACCTGGACTTAGCTTTTATTAGCAGATCTATAGTAATGTTGTGGTGCATGACTTTATTAAAAAGTTCAAGTAAAATCAGAGTAACCTCGAAAAAATGGAGGAAAATTGTTCCAGAGCTGCTTAGGCTGGTTTGAATTTGGCAGTGACAAACGAAATCCTATGAAATGTATCGAAACAAGAACTTTTTGCATGGAAAGTAGAAGATTCGAGTCGGTGTGTTTGCGCTGCCTAAAGTAATCTAGGAAACAAAATCGCGAAAGGAACTTGGCACTGATTATTGGTCAGTAAACATTTGTTGTTGCTCCGATCGAAAAGAACTCTGGCTTTAGGCTTCGACTTGAGTTCAGTCCATTACGCTCCAGTGGTAATGATCCTAGGCGCACACGGGAGTTCCTACCTAAATTAAGGCACTTTTATTTTTGGTAACATCAATTAACTGAGTCTTAGGATTGTTTGTTAATTTGTGGCCCGAGGGATGTCTGCGGGTGACGGACTTCATTTAACCAATTCTAGGGTTCCAAAAATAAAATTTAAGAACGACGGGATTGAGAAATTATGATGTGTTGTTCAAGCATCCACGTTGTGAAGTGTCAGAATTCTGTTTTCAAACAAGACGCAGTAGTTCTATGTATGGCAATAGTGATTTCCAAAACGCTGTGGTGTATGCTTACGGCACATTTTTAAAACCATTAGAAGATTAGCCCAATTATTGTCTAAGCCGATATTAAATTTGACAACTGTAGCGACGTTTAAAAGTGCAGAGATATTAGACCACGATGGCCTCAGCCAATCCTCTGTCCGTTCGAGTTCCGATGACGCGCGAGAAAGGTATTCAGCCAACTAGAGACAGACACTACAAGAAGCGGTATATAATGAGCGGCATAGCCAGCATAATGAACTCGGATGGATGGCGTATAACATTTAGTTTTGGCTTATTATTAATCAAAAAATCCTGTTCTGGTGCACCAGTTTTCTTCATGCTAGGGCTCGGGTATTCTACACTATCGAGAGGTCACACATTTGCTCTTTTAGGCTAATTTAGACTCTCAGTTGAATTAAATGATATTGTCAAGTAACGTTTTAAAAATTCTGAATTAAACAAAATGTAGTCCGAACATATGCATTTAAAAAATGAAATTTTATAGGTTTTTTAATTTTAAAGTCAAATTATGTCTGAGGAAAGCCTACCAAAATGGTCAACGTTGCAGCAGACATAAACCTACAAAATGGAAGCTTTTGCCAGGTCTGGATTACCTAACACTGACCTAATTAAAACTTACTACATTGCTAACTTTCATTGACTCCGCCGATTATAAGAAAAAACTGTTTCACAAAAATCGGTTTTGAAACGTTACACTAGGCCTAAATTTTTTTCAAACCTTCTGACAAGTTGTTGTGGTTTAAATACCTGTGTGTTCAAGCGCATGCGTAAGTTCTGTGAAAAAAATATCAGCCTTGGGGGAAAATTTTGCAACAATTCAGCATAGTTCTAATCCGACAGCAAGCACTTAAAGTAAAATAAGAAGACCAAATTCAAAGGAATTTGAATCGTTTTTTATGCTGTTGAAATGTCCGAGTTAAAGAATTCATTTAATCAAGGTAAATGGAGGTTAGGGCCAAGTTGATCACTAGGGGGTTAGTGGGCTGGATGAAGACAGGAAGCAATTGTGCGCAAACTGTGGTGATAGTTGTGAAATAACAAGTTGTACCTAATATCCAGGCCTTATTAAGATTAACTCGCCAAACATTTATTCTGATACAGTTACGGGCACCTCACGCAAGACCTTAAAAGTTGCAACATCAAACGATCACCCACTTATCAAAGCCGTCGTTAAAAAAAATTAATGCTTCAATGACCACAGTCATTTAGACTAGTTTCACAATGCATCCTGATTCTTTTTCGAGTGGAAACTTTAAACCAATATGCAATATTTTTTCTCACCTTTAGATAAAGATTACAGGCTGAGAAATACAAAAGTTATTTGATTTGATAGTTGCTGGTTGTTTGTTTAAGTTAGGAGCACAAATACATAAAATGCCGATGTTGTAGCGAGAACTAACTACACTGATGTACGGTTTTGTTGCTATGAGGTTCATAGACTAAATAACATTAGTAACCAATCGATAAAATAAGCTAAAAGTAAAACAAAAATGGCAACTTAAAAGCTAGGTGTTTAGTTATTCGCAAAAATCAATCAGTTTATTTCACACTGTCATCAGCATATCGTTCCGCATGATTACGCTTGCCGATCACAACAATAATTCAGTGCATATGGTTTCTACTAAGAACACCAAATTGTGAAGGTACCTATTCTGCAGACATATATGCTTTAAAGGTGGATAGTCAAAACAAGTGTGTTTTTTGAAAATTTCCCCAGTGAATTTCCTGATTGACAAACTTTGACTCCCTAAACTTTAATTCAGGCATGAAAAGCTACTTCCTTTCTTATTCATAATACTATTTATAACAGACGCGTTATTGGTTTATAATGATCTTTTGATTTATTAGCCAAACCTAACCTATATTCGTATCTCTCTCGTCAAGCCTTCAAAGGTCATGGACTAATGGATTAAGTGTATTTTTGCTACCAGCGGGTTGTACGAAAGTTATTGGCTCCTGTTTGGTCGAAAAAATGGCAACATCACAAAAAGAAATTAATGGCGGGGACAGTGAACCAGAAAATATCCAGGAACTTACAAAGACGGTAAAATAATATAATGTAGTAACTTTGCCTGAAGATCCAAGCAATGATTACTCAAATGCAGGAAAAGTTCCAAGAAATGAGCGATCAACTTGTGCAGAAAAATATCCTTTTTGAATTATTTTATTTATACTTACTCATCTGTAATTTGTGATGCGGGAACCCAACATAGACTGGTTTGAACTAAGATATGGTTTTACCCTATTAATTTACCAATGCAATTTGACTTTCAAGTAATCGATTTATGTAATCGTCTATTAACAAAAAAATTGGGAAGTGTATAGTTATACTCAATTCTTAAGTCGTCTTAAAATTTGTAGTGTGAGGATCTATCTTACAATTAATATTTTAACCTGACGCGAATGCAACAATAATTTGCAAGATATTTCTCCGTTTTTCGAACGTCTGATTTATTTTTCTTGACAGTCCTGTTTGTACTAGACGATATGTCAACCCGAATCGATGAATTAGAGAAGAACATTGGTGACATACTTAATTCACAGGAAGGCGATTAACTTCTCTGTCTTCATTTGTTTTATTAAAATAGTGTCTGTAATTTTTGTTCCTATTTACAACTTGTACACTCATTAAATTTATTTTCTCTATCCTTTAGCTTTTGCTTTCTTTGGTCGGCACGATACATTGAGTCTCGTGAGTACCCTAGTAGCTGTAGAACAGAACTCTTAGCACAAACGGTATCCTGATGTGTACTTTGCGCGGACTAACTTAGTCTTGTGTTTCCTTCCAAAATGGGTTTTTGCCAACCTCAGTATCTACGTGAAATCGAGGTCAGTAACCTCTAGGATTTTGCGTCATTAACTATACCATATCATCGGTCACTATTGTATTGTCATGCATTGTACTCCCATCTTAGTTCACCAGGTAAACTTCGCAGGGCCTTCGGCTAGGACAGTAAAGCCTTCTGTCCTGTGCTGGAGATGTGGGGCTTTTGTGTTTTGGCTCCCTGGGCGTGCTTGCAAGCTTGCACAGTCGATCGCAGCCGAAGGCTGATTTTACCAATGCATGTGGGATCCCCACTCCCCATTATGCAAAATTTGCAGCCACGAAGTTTTGGATACCCAAGATGAAAAGCATTTACCACGTGTAAGAGTGTGAGGCAATAATAAATTAGTGAAAACTGGACTCATGACAAGGCCAGAAAATGGCATATTCCCGGTGGAATGAAACCATCCATTCTAGCACTCGCCCCACACACACAGGACTTGCCACAGAATAAATAAGAATTGCTGCTTCTGCGGTGTCAAAGTGTATTACCCGATCTGTTTCCACTTCCGGGGTTTTGTAAAGCAATTTATCGTGTGCAGAATCCGAATTTCGCTGAGCGAACCCTTTGGAGACAACTTATTCTTACGTGCAAACCGTAATAAGCGTCGGAACACTAAAGCCCAAATCCGAATAAAACGAACCAATGAGGAAGTCGAACGACATCCGAGGTTTCACTCATAATTCTCCACACGACATTGAACGTAATTAACGTGACCACGTTTCCGCACCCAGCTAATACCTCCAACACGAGTACAAATATAGCTGGACTAAGAATTTTAGAGAAAAGGACATTCATTGCGTAGACGGATTTCCAGCCTTTTCATTTCCCCGGAAGTAACTTTTTTGGTTTATTGAAAAATCGAGTCTTACTTTACGTGCTCTATTTTGGGCCTCAGTAATAAAAAGTTTACCTTTTCATTCTTATGCTCTTACTTGTGACCACATCTAGTGTTTCTTCTGCTTAAAAATTCCAAATAAACATTCACTAAATTACAATGAAGGGCGTGAGATTAAATCTAATGTCGAAATTGTGAATCAAAAGAGGCCAATATTAAGGCACTACAAGATTTTGAAAATTTATTAGTCAGAAGTATAAGCGGCAATGATATCTTGAGGAGCATTTAAATGAGTTCTAGGAAAGTTTTGGGGACTTAGTAGCTACAATAACATGAAATAGGCACTTTTTTTAAACAAAATAAAACTACGTTTCTGGCCATAAGCTCAAAGAGGCAAACACGAAAAAGAAGACAATTTTTCCACCCAGATCGAATGCAATTCACGGTAGCGGAATTAGTCACAAGTCAAATAGCAGAAAATAGCTTTTTATACACCGTTTAGAAGTGCAAACTACAAATTATGAGGACTGAAAGCTTCTCTTGGAATGGACTTCATCGAGGATTTGCTGAAGTTCTTCATCCGGAAAACGAAGTTTGTCCAAACTGGGGATGAGGCTTCGCGCTTCGGTTACATTATCGGGAAGAAGGTTAGCAATCGATGCAAGCTCAAAGTTGTGAAGGTGCCTCTGCACCAACAAACTATCAAGTAGGGTAAACAGTAAGTTGTGATTACTTTCGGACACTTTCAATGGTTTCTCTGTTATTAAACTCCGAAAGGCGGGAAATGTATCGGTAAGTCTTAATAAAATTGTTAGACAGCTCAAGTTCATGAACGGGATTGTTTTCATTTTGCTCTTTTCTAAAGGCCTTTAAAAGAGGCTCAAACTTACCTGTGGTCTAGAAGAAACTTCACCTCAGATATCATTAGAGTCTCCGCGGTTTCGAATTCTTAAAGATTAAAGAACAGCACACTGTTACCTTTCTGAAATTTCAACTCTCTGGCGTCATAGTCATCATCAACCGCTCTAGTCTGCGACATATTTGTGCAAGATGGTTACCAGTCGAACGACTTAAACTAATAAATCAGCTGAGAACCACAATGTATGTTCTCACGTTTTGAAAGCCGCGGATCACCGCAAACCATATTAAAAATTCATATACTGACCTTACTGTTTAAATGTGAAGTTTTTTTAAAAAAATACAAAAAACATTACGTTTAGTAGTGGTAAAAAAGGTGGGTTCTCAGATCAACGCTGTAAATCCAAAAAACAATAAGAATATACGTTTTTAGGATTTAAAATAATCTTAAATATTTGTTGGCCATTTGTGCAGAATACGAAGTGAGCGTTGTATGAGTTTCAGTCGTCTAGATTGAATGTGGTTGCAAAAAGAGATGCTAAACTTTGATATATGTACTTGCAGAGTGTAAAATTTCTGTTAGATCCTCCCAAATATTACTAAAGCCTCAGTAATATGAATTATTTCATATGTGTTTATGTAAAAAAACTTCCAGTAACGCGAAATCTTAAATCATAGCTTGCTAAGTTAGTGTGTCTTATGTGATTTTTCATCTAAACAAAAAACGTGCTTGTAGGGCAATAGAGCTGCTGGTATAAAATCTTCATCATTTGCTTATCTCAGCGCTTTTGAAATTCTAAATTTTAAATGAATCTACGTATATGTACAGTAAAATTTCGTTTTTCTTTACTTTTCAGGTCCTAAAGCTCAATTTTTTGAATTCATTGGTTTACGCATTCCGAGATCATATTAGATTGGGTTACCGTACACGCCAACCAGGCCCTTTAGTTGAGATGTTAATGAACTCTCACGTACTTTACAGTTCTTAACAGCAATAATTAACAAACTAAAAAAGCATCAATGGAACCAGAGCTGTCCAAAATCTGAACTTACAACTAATGTTTAAAACATACGTTGCTGATAGAGTACATGTAGGCAGATTTTTTTTAATCGTAACCGGGTATTGTATTTTCAGGAAGTGTTTTAAATGCGCCTTGATTTTCAATCCCAAAATGCGTTTATAAATAGGTTCACAATAATTTCTCTCCAACCTATAGGATAGACGAACATACCTTATTTACTAATCTCTCTAAAGTATGTATTTTCGCAGGTTAAACTTGCGAAATGCTAGCTAGGTTCATGGTAAGTAATTAGCTTTGGTGAAAAGAAACGAGCATCTGAAATGCGTATTTCGCCATTCACCAAAATGCTGAATACTTTCATCTTCATATACCACTCATAGTCAATAATCTATCGAGCATAATCGTTTTACATTGCAGCTAGCTGTTATAGGGAACCGAGTTCATTTTAATTTCTAACACACTATTCCTGGTCTTAAATGCTTTCACTTAGGCCACTCAACATGCAGCTGGGGTCAGTTTCTAGATTATTGCGCAACGAATAAAAGTTCGGCGACCTGGTGACTCATTGAGTAAAAATAAAACTTGAGGGAAAAAAACACTGTTCGCGCAGACGGATTTCCAGCATTTAAACTGCTAACGTCCCCGAAACGGCCTATTTATTTCTGAACCAATGCTGCCATATCATTGGCTACGTCCGTGGCAAGTACTAGATTAGGGCTTGTGCAATATTTCTCAATCCGCTGAGACCACTCATAATCAACAGTCTCTCCTACGATTCGTTCTACTCTGCAGCAATTTAACACCACCTGTCGTAAAGATCAGATTTCAGTGCCTTAATATTCAGCCACTGAGACTGCGGTTGCACACTACTCCTAACCTTCGACGCTTCTGGTTCGAACAGCAAACATGCCAATCAGATCACGTCTCCAGATTATTGCGCCCAACGAGATCCCAACATGTTCGTCAATTACGCGTGAAGTCAGTGTAGCATTCAAGAGAAAAGGACATTTGCTGCGCAGAGATAACTTCACTTCCACCTCCGATAACTCCGCACTTCCAGTGTGCACTCAGGTCTCAGGACAACTTCGGTGAGTGCACTTCTCAACACCTGCATTCTGACCGGTGCAACAGGCAAACACCAACTAACACCTGTGGTCTGCGAAGCTTCGTGCGTGTCTCCTTTGCTGTTAAGTCCAAAGCTATCTCGTGGATTGCATTGGCAGCCCTAACCACTCACTATTTCACAAACTGCCAATTTTTGGAATAAGGATTCCATTTAAGACAACAAATAGCAAGCAGCAGCAGCTGCAACTACAGTAACGTGCATCTTGAAATTCTAGTGTTTCTGAGAACATTCAAGTGTCAAATCAGTCCACGACAAAAAAAACTGAGTGAGCTGATGACAAAGCGTTTGGACAATTCGACACGTCCAGCCATCTTATACTAACCGCGTTGATAGCAATTGACCAATAATTGGGCACCCTTGTTGGCGGATACAATACGGCGGCACACTGACATCCTATCGCCCAAGCCGATTTCGTATGCAGAACACTCGTCCACTCTAATTCACACCGATACCATCGCATGGCCACGAAATTGCATTGCACTTTCCACAATCTCTTCATTCGTTTTCACACGCGGCTACACAAAATGCACCACAAATGTCGACATTGGCATTCGCATTCCGTCCTCTGATATGTCACAAATTCATTTGATTGGGTACAAAAACCACGTGCTTCGGCGGAACACGTCCATCGTGATTCGCTTGCATGCCCAAACAAGGCTAGGCGAGATCTCGTAACTGCGAGTGTGCTATCACAAATTCACG